TTTTATTTAAAATATATTTTTTCTTTTTTATGGCCATGGCCTGGTCGCCGGCCATGGCCAGTAAAATATTTTTTATTAATAATATTTTTTATTAAAATATTTTATTCTCGTCAGATCCGGCGAGGGCGGTCCTCGGGCCGGACATTAGAAGCTAAATTAAAAACCAAGAAAAGGAAGAAGAAAAAAAATTGATTCTCAAAATTGTTCCCAGAATCAAGAAGCTACTTTTTTTTTATTCTCGATTTTTCAAATCGATTCGGGAACAATTTTTGACAAAATTGTGCCCAGAATCAAAAAATTAAACAAACGCATTTCTGTTCCCAAACTGATTCTGGGAACAAAAGAACAGAATCAAACACTGTTTGGCAAGTTGTCATGCGCAGCCTAAGAGGTGTTTGGTCAAGATCGAACTTTCTCGGCAATCTTTGACAGAAACTGTCAAATTTTAGAGAATCAATAAAGTAGGTACCTTCCCAAATCCTACTCATATTCCATCGACTGTTCTTTCTCGTAAGTGCTTTTTCTCTTTTCCTTTCTGTTGGAAATAGACGCGAAAAACAAATACAAAACACAGAAATTTACGTGGTTCGATCACAAGGTGATCTACGTCCACGGGCGAGGCAAGACAAGATTCCACTATAATCAAAGAGAGTACAGTTTTCAGAAGTCGAAACAACGACAAAAGTTCACGGCTCACAAAACTCTCCGAAAACAAAATTCTCTCATCACCAATGAAAAACCCTAGCCGCAGTATAAATAGTACTCCCCAAAAATTTTCTCCAGGGCTACACCCCCGAACCCCCCGAGACATTTATTCGCTTTCTCCAGCTCGAGCGAACCGCCATAGAGATTTGTTCACTTGCTCCGAGTTGGGCCTATCGGCCCAACCCTCCGCATCGCGAACCAATTCTCAATTTTTTCTCCACTTTCGGGTCGCACAAAAAATATGTCGAGTCGGGTGATAAACCGGACCGAGTATATAAAATTCAAGACATATTTAACACTTTCTTTACACCAACAAAATTAAATTATTGCTGACTGCATCAGTCTTTTGTTTCAAAGGCTTCCCCTACTTACACTATTACATAGATATACTATCATTTTAAATGAGAAAAACTTTTAATTGTATTTCTCACATGATTTGTGGCAATCTTAGTGTTGCAGAATGGCTTTGATGGTAAGCTCATTGTTAATTATGATTGTTCTAAGGCATAGCGCTAAATATCAGTAACATGGCCGATGTATCTGTACATGTACTAACTTCTTCATAGCATATCATCAGTTCTTTTTCTCCTTCACATAATGATAATTATATGTTCCCTTGCGCTCGTGCAGATTTAGCTAATTAGCATGGCCTGTTTCATAATGCACAGAAGTTTAGCAGTGTCCTGGCAAATCTTCAACACAGCGAAACTTTTGAGTCATGTAATGTATGCTTTCAGTGTTGACAGATCTGTGGGCTATTGAAATGATGATACTTTTAGAATGTCAAGTTTCCTCATTACAATTCTAACAAATTGCAAATCAAGAGCTGTCAATTTGTTGATGGCTTATGGACATTCGCCGCCATGTTGGAAATTTAAGTCTTGATTCTTCAAACATTTGTCATCTCCGCTAGGCAATGCACCTGAACTTTTTTTAGGATGAGATTGAACTTGCGTATTCATTGAACCTTGTGTTTGGATAATGACCTGGACTAGTTCAAGGCCAGTTTTTCATTTTCACTCACTCAATTTTGTCTTTTTTCACAGAAATTCAAATTTCACACTTCATTGCCCTCAGGAAGACGCCATCTGCTGTTAGATTAAGGATTCGCATCAAGGAACATTAGTCGAAGTACAGAATCCACACCCGCATGATTCTTACATGTTTTTATCTGTTTCTCATCATTTGGTTGATAAACAGAGCTAGGTGGGAATATTTTCAGCCAAGGATCGCAACAAAGAATGTGATTTGAGTTGACAGGAGTCGTACTGGGTCACATGATTTTGGTATTGATGGTATTCATGTTAGCTGGCCTCTCACTTTTGGTTTCATGTTGATGTGGAGGCAAACTGTCATCATTCCTACTTTTTTCTTTTTGTTTTGCTTTATCACCTTATGGAACTTTAAGGCCAGACACTGAATTGACACCGCGAGATACCTTTTTAGCTTTTACTGTACCAGTTTCAATTACAAGGAAATAGGAGAGGCAAAAGGTTCTGTTCCGTGAAATAGGAGATGGTCTAGAGTGCGATGAATAATCCATTTCAAAGCTTTGAACTGAACAGGGAGAGATTAGCGATCTTCAGTCAAGGCTGGAGATTGTCCCTTTAGGAAGCATGCATGATTGATGATTTTGCGACACGTTACGCGAGATCACTACCAACTCATTTATACATTTATGAGCTTGACTGAGTCGACAAAGTATGGTTTTATTGTGCTTAAATACCTTGATATCTTTTCTTCATGTGTATTCGAAATGTTTGTTGTCCTAGGATAAAGGGTCTTTTTATCCGCTCTGACACACGTCAACGATCAAATGCATGTGTTTCGCCTTGAGTACTGTGTTAAATGTGAAAAGGGGCCAGTGAAATGAAGTTGGAAGCGTGATTCAATTAAATCGATATCGATTTAACTTGTCTTTCCTAAAATCATGAAATGGTTTGGAAGTCGATCGGAGTCTATTTCGCAGTGAAATATTTCTCATGGCTTGATTGCGTGGGGGTAGGTGGTGCAATATTTCTCATCTGATGCACCCCTCTTGGTCATGAGCTTTCACTATCATTTTTGAAGTTAGAGGGGTGTACTAAAATTTGATAGAGACCCTTTTGTCCATCAGGGAAGTATTCCTATCTTGATAGAATCTGAATTGCCTTTTCCTCGAATGAGTGTGCTCGATAATAAGAGGCGTTTGGTCAAAGATTGAACCTACTTGTATTCCATTGATTGTTCTTCCTCTAAGCGCTTTTTCTCTCTTCCTTTTTTTGTAATTGGTAAGTATCTCTCACATGTTAGGAATGTAAAAACATTGCATGATAATAATAATGACCCGGCCACGCCTCCGCCGCAAATCGAGATTGCCACCATGAGACACCGCTCCTCTCTCTCTCTCTCTCTCTCTCTCTCTCTCTCTCTCTCTCTCTCTCTCTCTCTCTCTCTCTCTCTCTCTCTCTCTCTCTCTCTCTGTGTTCAAGATGACCAAGCCAAATGCAGCTCGCTCCGTCGAAGCATAGCAAGATTTGGCTCCACCACTCTTCGGCGACGAGGCAGATCTCGCTTACTCTTTGACGGTACTTGCTTCGGGCTAGCCTCAATTGGCCTTCGTTGAAAAGACAAAAGACGATAGAGCCACCGGGTCGATTGTGATTAGTGCTGGCCTCGTCGCAAGAACATAGAAACAAAGTCATAGGAGAGAAAGCATAGAGCAGACACTGCCAGCAGAGGAGACAGTTCTGTGGACGGTGCGGCAATGGATGGTAGGAGTTCACACGATGCAAAGACGATGTCATTTTTGTCTAATACGTTCGCAAGCATCATGTGGCAATTTTCCCCTCGACCTAGTTTATGTATACAGCATAGTCAAACAATTCTGATCCGACCATCGTACTTTCAAAGTGATTTCGGTCAGACCGCTCCTTCAACCATTAAGTAAAAAAGCGACGGAAAGCTAAATGCGGCAAGTTAACGAGGGCATACGCCAACATGAGCTCAATTCCCTTAAGAAGCAATAATGTTAAATCGGATATCGGTTTTGGCCTGAGCTTTTTTTTTGTCTCATAAAATAACACGAACTTTAGTCAGATCCCAATTTTAGCCCGAACTCTCTTTTTCATAAAAAAAAACACCAACTTTTAGGTTGGATCCTAATTCTGACCTAAACCTTTTTATCATAAAAAGCACCAATTGTCAATCGTTATCCAAATCTAAACCCCGTCAAGTTTCCGTCCATTGATGGATCTTTAATAACATCATTAGATGGAAATTTGATGGAGGCTAGATCCAAATACCAAGTAAAAGTTTGTGCTTTTTACGAGACGAAAAATCAAATATTAAGTTGGTGCTTTTCTATGAGTCATAAAATATGAGCAAAAATTGGAATCTGACCTACGGTTAGAGTTATTTCATGAAATAATAAAGAAAGTTCCTGTCGAAATTGAGACTAGATCTTGAAATCGATGATTTTTAAGAGAATTGAGGCCGCCGACCTGATAGTTACATGCTTGGAAGTGACAGATACAACACCATTTCTCTGTTGTTTTTATTCAACGGGCAGTTCTCGGAGTGACATAATGTAAAGTGACAACTACGTCCTCTGGAAGTAGACAGACAAACTAAAACTAAACGAAGTTTAGTTACCCCAAACTCGAGAAAGTTACTTAACCACAGTACGTTTTATCTTCATGTGGCTCTAATCTATAGCAGGCGAATCCATACATAATTATGAGGATGATACAGGGGGCATCTTTTGCAAAAGATCTCTTTTCACACAGCATGATTAGAAACCCTTTTAGTCAAATATCGACTGTTGCATCATCGCATTAATGTCCTCCACCAATTTTTCCACAGCATCGCAGACGGGTCCTTTCTTGCTTTAAAAATCATCCCTCTTTGCTATATGCCTTTGCACTTTCCTTTTCTCGAGGATCTGAGAAACCCTTTGACAGCTACAAGCCAAAACTGCAGTGCTTTTGAACAACATCGTTCATCTTTCCATTTCCCTCTTCGTTGCCAAAGTATACCCCATGATTTACCCTCCTGCTTTCTCCTACTATAGTAAAAGAAGTTATTCAATTGGGTAAAGCACTAGACGATTTGAATAATACCCAGAAAATAATAAGAAAGAGCGAACGTGACGCATGCCAAGCAGAGTGGTTTGCATTTCTTTAGCTCATCATGACCAATATATTTTAGCTGTCCTAGCTTGAAGTCTCACCCACACACACAAATGGAAATTTTTAATTAGCAGATGGCAAAGTTCACAACCTTTTCTCTGGAATCATGCACACAAGAGAAGAACATAACGTAACATATAATTTTTATTATCTTTGAGCTCTCATGATTTCTCATCACAAATGCCTTTATCTGATTCAAGAAATCTGCTAACCCACTCTAAATTCAACGGACTCTCGTTAGAGAAATCGAAGAACTCGTCCACATCGAAATCGACGCTCGTCTTTGACTCTTCGCCTCCGTTGGACGAACTCTCCTCTCTCGCTTCCACACTCACCCTTTCGGTTTCCCTCCTTCTCTGAGCTTCCTTGCCTTCTCTTTCAGGCGCTTCGCTTTGCGGCTCCTTCTGCTTTATTTTCTTGCTCAAATGAGAGTTCCAGTAATTCTTTATCTCATTATCTGTTCGACCGGGTAATCTTCCAGCAATCAAGGACCACCTGAATTTTTTCAACCCAAAAAGAGGGAAAAAAAATCAGACCACCCATGCTAGGCAAACTGTGAAACAAAATGAATGACTTATCAAGAAAGCAATCAACATATGCTAAATGCGAACCTGTTCCCTAATAGTTTGTGAAGCCTTAGTATCAAGTCATCCTCTTGGTCGGTGATGTTGCCTCTCTTGATGTTGGGTCTTAGATAATTCAACCATCTCAACCTGCAACTCTTCCCGCATCTACTGAGACCTGGAAAAGAGAGAAAAAAACAAAAGAACCATATTTTTTAAGATGTACACAGAATATAATATACTTCAAAATGTTCTTTTTATCTTCTCAAAGCCAACTAAAAAACATGGATAAAAGTATCAAAAAAGATCACCTGCTGTAGCTGCAATTGTCTTCCACCTTTTTGCACCATGAACTGCAATAACCTCAGCAAGTTTTCTATCTTCTTCAGGTGTCCATGCTCCTTTACTATATTCCTTTGCAGCTGATGATTTCTCCATGGAAGAGAGAGAGAGAGTTGAAAGGCCTTGGAGAGAGGATGGGTGTTCTGAATTGTTACTTGAGGACGATCTCTCTATATCTAAGAGGGTTTTGTGTTGTTGGGTCCCTGTGTCGCCTACCCTTCTTGGTGGAAGAGAAAAATAATCAAGTACCACTTGTATATGTACGCATATAGAACAGATCATATAGATACTGCAAAAAAGAAAAGTTTTAATATTTATGGGACTTTATGATTGAGCAATCGAGAGTGCCATAAAGTTTGAACCCTACTACTACTGCCACAACCAAATACATGCTAATCCAAAGGCTGCTAAAAGGAAAAGAAATTATTTCTTAATCACTGAGTGCGGGTACACCTGCTTTTAATTACATGCCAAAAAGAAAAAAAAAAGTTGTATATTGTAAGAAAATCAGACATCTTTGGACCATTTTATGGACAATAGAACAAAATCAATATAGTGCGAAATCTGCAAGAGATATGGTGGATTAAAGTGAAACTCGATGTAAGTTTCATAGATTCTTGGTGCGCAATGGTTTGATCAAGGAGAACGGGTCTAAAAATACTTTATTGAAAAAGTTAATCACGAAAGGAAACGAAAAGAAAGAAGAAAATGACAAAGGCATAATGGAGGGCAAAAGTGTAGACATCACATGGCAAAAAGTTATTACCTTCGAGGGTTGCCTTTGAGAGAGTCTAGGGATTTACATAGAGGTCAAAGTTGAGGAACATAAAATTTATTTTTTGCCGTTTTGCATGTGCAATTTATTATCAATATTTATGGCTCGAAATCTCATGCTAAAAGGGGTTATAACAAGGGGCATGCACATATATAACGGTAATAATATATATCAGATTTTGCTGGCAACACTGCAATAGCTTTGAATAATTATAAGAGCTTTTCAGAGCCCCGAAAAACAAACAATTAAAAATAGTTTCCCCCTGGTGAAAGGCATGAAGAATTTCTATCATTGGTGCCACGTCTATACAGCAGTAGACTCGGACCACGTGAGGCTCTTCTAGATTAGTACAGTTCGTATATTTAATTCAAATAATTAGATGAAATATGGACAGTTTGTAATTAATTAAATTGAGAGACAAAGTTGCAATTATCAGCTTTCTATTATACTATACCTCGCTGTCAGTGGCAGCGGCTCCTTGGTCTATGGACCCTTATGCGAATTGTTCGTTGTGGAGCGTAATTTGTCCTTCATTTTGTGGATTCAATTTGCGGGTAGAAGTCGTTGATAAGGAAAGTGGCAGTAAAAGCCAAAAACATGCCTAAAATAAATGAAGCATTAGGTGAAAACGGGGAAAGTACCACTCTTCGATCGAGGAAAGCAAAAGACAAACTGACTTACGAAATCGCAGATGGAGTTGTTCCAAGATTGCATCTCCCTTGGAGTGCTTTAGTCTAAAGAATTGGAGGGATCACCTAATCAATTTTTTCATGCGAAAGTACTTCCAATTGTCTGTTAATAGACATTGTCGAGGAAGAGAATCCTTTCAATCGCGAATGCAGCATATCAAACGAAATTATTATTATGAAGTGGGAAACTCAAGATGGGTCTTAAGAAAAAAAAAACCCTAGTGAGAGATAAGCAAACTTAGTCAAAACATCATTGGACAAATTTTAGTTTTGGGGTTGAATTTTATCACGACGAAAGAGAGTCGTGAGAAACGGGCGAAGCAAAGTGGCCGTCCCTAACATTGATGTGTTGAAATAGCAAAGAAAGGGAGAAGGACAAGGTTGTATGACTGATTGGTCTCGCACGTGAGTACGAAAATGACGAAGAAAGTCGCGATTTGATGTTAATTGATACTAATTCGGATGTGTTAACAACGCGTGGGGACATAAAATATATTATATTTTTAGATATTCGCTTTCACCTAAAGTAACTTGGACGTGTATATACATGATGGTCTCAAGTGACGGTCAATTTGTCTCTCTTGTCCCGATTTTCAACGCTAGAGCTAAAAAAAGCATTTTCGGTTTACACTCATTATTTTGGGTTTACATCTTTATGTTTTTCGAAAATTATTTTGTAAATCAACATCGGTACTTTCAAATTCAAACCCGCACAGGGAGATGTAGTCACGACAGTTTGTGGGAATTTAAATTTTTCTCGCCTAGTACTCAAAAAGAGTTTAATTGAAATTAAAAATATCCGTAATTGTCAACGATAGTGTTCGGTTATATATAAAATAAAGATGCACCAGCATAATTACATGCACATTTGTATAAGCTTAGCATGCATGACCAATACGAGGTCCAAAGTTCACTGAAGTCCAGTCCCTACCTTCACTTTCTTAAGCACAAATGATTGTCCCTATTCTTTCTTTTTTTTATTTCTCTTTGTGAAAATTTATGAGTCAAAAGAGCTCATATTGTATTGAGAACAGATATAATTTGCATATAATAATTTATATGGTATAAGAACCACGTACACACAGAATAATATACTTCGTATGTTAATTAATTTTCTAAGAGGCAATAATGAAGCATGACTCACGTGTATATGGACCCTTTTGTCAAAGTCTTTTGATGTGATTGTGGGACAAACCGGAACTCCAACGAAAGTCTATGTCTATACAGAATACATCGACGGTGAATCTTTCTTGTATCGTGTGCCTCCTTAGGTTTCTAAACCGGCAAATGCCCGTTGCTCCCTTTGACACATGTACGTACACTTCATTGCAAATAAGAAGTTGGACTTTTTCATCTTGCTGATATCAACTTTTTGGAATTACATTCACATTCAGTCTGCGATTTACACATGTAAAACGACGCAATTACAAAAATAAATCATAAAAATATTATAGTTATGTCAATTCAGTCTTAAACCTTTTAACAATTTGCCGATTTAATCCTTCCGGCCAAAATTGATCGGAAATCGCGGACGTTGACACTGGCCGTCTCTTTTTTCTTTTCTTTCTTTTTTTTTCCTGCTTCCTCCGCGACCAGCGTGGGTCGCCCTCCCCAGAGGCTGGTGAGGTTGGCCCTTGCCAGATATCGGTGAGGGTCACCCTCGCCGGTCGACGACTATGGCCGATCGCCTAGGCACGGCGACCAAAAGAGGAGGAAGAAAAAAAAGAAAGAAAAGAAGAGAAATAATAAATAATTCATAAAAGAAATGACAAAAATTATCCAGATCAGTGTCTGCTATGCGTCCACATAAGCAATTTTCGCTCAAAATTAATCGAAATGACTAAATTAATAAATTGTCAAAAAATTTATGACTAAATTAATCAAATTAAAAGGTTTAGAACTGAATTGGCATAAATATAATAAAGTTTAATACTTTTTTTTTCTAATTTTTCCCATGTGAAACACTACTCACAACTAAATAAAAGCATGCCAAACAATAATTCTCACATTGAATTTGGTGACACGGCAATTTCCTGGAAAACAAAATGTGCTCCTTCCTTTTAGACACCACTGACGTGTAAGCTCCTAAAACTGTCGGTGCTCCCGTGACTATCCACCAATTCCTACTTGTAAAGTGCAAAGAGACATTATAATGAATTCACCCAATTGACGATAGAAATTTGTTCCATGAGATTTACATCAAATGTCATGGATTTCTAAAAAATCTCTGAGATAAAAATGGCTGTACAACGATTTTCCAATGAGTACGTTACGTTGAAATGCGTAGGGATCTTAAACAAAATCGTATTAGCATGGGGAACCTCAACAGAAAGGTGAAGATATTCTTGCCTCTGCTGCAACTTGATTTTCAGCACACCCCTCCCAATTTGGTATCTGCAATTCGAGCCTTTCTTCACTTGCATTGTAGCTTCGCGTGCGGGCAAGCATTACTGTGGATAGAACCCTTCAATGGGTTCAGCTTCTAGTTAGTTGGAAAGCATTTAAATCTGAAAGTGAGGCGATTAGAAAAGTCCTCGTGATTACGGGCACTCCTGCAAATCGATAACCGTTGGATCACGAAGGAACAAATCTCAATCCTTCATTGAAAAATCTCGAAGTGCTTGTGAGACACAACTTGACGGGTGGATCGGTTCCTCAAGAGACCGTGGAGATTGACCAAAATTACCGGGTAAGTTTCCTTGAAGTTAGGGTAATTGATTGTGACATTAGGAAAAGAAAACCTAGGGTCCATTCCTCTTTTTTCTTTTCTTTTTTTCCTTAAACTAGTTTGCATTTATTTAAATTTTGAAAAACTTTAAAATTCTTTTATGTTAGGGTTAACTTGGTGCGTAGTTAGATAACATGTTAGCATCACGTGCCCACCAAGGCAGTGATTTTACTAGCAAAGTGCCTAGATTTGGTTAAAGTGTATTAATTGCAAACAAATGAAACCCCGGAAGATCGATCTTATGAAATTGAAGCGTATCGATCTAATTATAAATCCCGTGAAGATTTTTTTACCACCACTTGAAATTTACCAATTTGAGCTACAAACATGTGGCTCCCACTGTATATTTACAAAACCATATTGTATATTAGCCACGACAAAAGATAATTATAGGTATATTGTCCCGCAGCTCTCCTTTTCATGCATTTGATATATATTTAAAAAAATGAAAATAAAGCAAAAAAAGCATCTAGCTGGGACTAGGAAAAAAAAAACATACTTTGCTCTCTCTCTCTCTCTCATGATTATATTTTGTCTCATTTTTAATCTCCGTACTTGCTAAGTTGCACGACTTTATTCATAACGCGCGTGTTGTTCCCACCCCCCCAATTTTGTGGTTGCAATTCAGTGATGTGATTGGCACATGAGAAGGGCAAAAGTGAAATACAATGTTGCTCGTTGACTTCGTTATTATTTGACATCAGAACGTAGACAAAACTCAAGACGATCGTGCCCGTGCCTGCCTAGTATGCTTTCTTTCCTCATTATACAAAAAGGGATCGAGTATGGACACGAATACATTTCTGAATTTTGATAAATGAAGTCTTTCCGATTTATAATTTATATTCATTAAGGTGTAGTACAAACTTAATGTTTCTGTTAGTTCGTTATTTAACATGAATCGGCCAATTTGTTGTTGATACAATTGACCATATGATTAATCTAATAGGTCGAAAGTTACAGACTCACTTTATTCTCGCATTATATTCATGTGATTCGGAACGACATTGGTCTTTTAGGACGCCTCCGAAACTCTTACAGAGACTCAAAGATATTCACGTCATTTTACAGCATTGGCAAATCAAGGGACCCGTTGTGGCGCTCGCTCTTTTAAGCCTAAACACTTTTTTAAGTACGCGATTCACTAAGGTTTTCCCAAAAGAAAGTTACACATTTGAATGAACTAAAAAATGAATTGTCCCCCGCACTCCTAAATCGGGTTAACTTTAAGTCGAGGGACAATTCTGGCCCGAACTTTTTTTTGTCTCGTAAAAAAGCACAAACTTTCACTTAAATCCCAAATATGGCCCTTATTGACTTAAAACCATTGATTTTCCAACTTGACTATTTCACCTTAGTAATAAATCCACGTGACTTGCTGACTGGATTTAAAGCATTATTCATTGTCTTATTCTCTCGAACCACGACTTGAAGAATAACGGTGAAACCTGTTTGTCTCCTTCACTTCACCAAGCAAGTCAAAAATATCTCCAGATTGAATCTTTATGGCCAAACTTCGTCGTTTTGTCGTAATCAAGCTGTAGACCACCGCCCGTCGACGACGCCATGGAAGAGATTCGTCGGCTCACCACCATAACTTTTTTCTCAAACAATGGTAACTCGGCAGAAAGTCAATGGGGGCCAAATTTGGGATTTAAATTAAAGTTGGTACTTTTTACGAGACAAAAAAAGTTCGGAGGGATTGTCCTCGACCTAAAGTTGGTGCTTTTTATGGGACAAAAAAAGTTCGGCTGAATTGTCCATCGACCTAAAGTTGGTGCTTTTTTATGGAACAAAAAAAAGTTCGGGCCAGAATTGTTCATCGACCTAAAGTTAGTGCTTTTTTTTGGAATTAACCCCTCCTAAACCTATGAGAGTCTGACAATTTATGAGTATCTAGCCCCTTCATGCATTCTTGCACATGTCGTTCCACTTAGCTTTGGCAAAATAAGTTCTATATGAAAAACTGATTAAAGAGAAGATGATTGCTGAATACTAATGATAATTTTGCGCAAATAATAATGCTTTTTTCCTAGTACTCCTACGTGCGATAACTTGTTCCGGAGGTCTACTGTTATTGCATGTTTTAACTTCTGAGAATTGGGCAACGCATTGCATTCTTACAGCATCAGGAATGCAAGAAAGGGAAAAAAGAGAAAGAAGATTCGACGTCTCTCGTGGGCTGAGCTGAATCGATCTGCGAAGAAAGAAAGTCTTGAATCGCCTTATGCCTCCTCATCATGTGAGGGCGTCTCTAGTCTTCTGCACATTATCATGCAGACAAAAGTCTGTCCTTTTTGCACTTTTATTATCATCTTTCGTTTTCCTTTCTCCTTTTTTATCTCTATGCCCGATTGCCACGCCTGGAAAATCTTTCGTTCTCTTCTCTTTGCCTTTACTAGAATGCCATTTATCAATATTTGCAAATTTGTCTCTCCTTTTGCGGTTCTTTCTCAGCCAGATTTCTAACAACAGACAGGTCAATCGTGCAGAAAATAGTAGGAAAAGGAATGAGAAAGTGGCGCCTTTGCTGATCAAGGCAGCACCAGATTGAACATTTACAGATCAAAAATTTTGATCCGCACTGACTTCAAACAACAGTAGATTGAACTTATCGAAAGTATATGGAAATCAACAGTTGTGGTTTATTAGATTCATGAAGAGTTTTGTGGATTCATGAGCATGATCCTTTCGAAGCATTGTCATCCTCCGATAGAAGGAACTCGTTTGGCCAGTCGAGATTTAGAGGGGTCCTCATGGAGAAATCGAAGAGATCATCCACATCGAAGCTGGTGATAGCTTCTAAGTGCTCTTTACTACTCTCTGATGTTTTCTTCTCTTCTAATTCTCTTACTTGTTTAGTCTCGTCCTTTTCGCTCGAAGCTTGACTAATCTGCTTCTCCTTTCGGTTATTAATTTTCTTGCCCAAATGAGAATTCCAGTAGTTCTTGATCTCGTTATCTGTCCGACCCGGCAATCTCCCCGCAATCAAAGACCACCTATACACGCAAGACAAAAAGAATTCAAGTTATCAACAACAGGTTCTCAACAGGCTTTCTTTTTGTAATATGGGGAAAAAACAAAACCAAACCTATTTCCGAGGAGCTTGTGAAGCCTAAGTATCAAATCCTCTTCCTGGTCTGAAATATTGCCTCTCTTTATGTTGGGCCTCAGATAATTCATCCATCTTAGCCTGCAACTCTTGCCACTCCTATTCAAGCCTGAAGAAGATGGCAAGCTTTTCTCATCATCATGTCGAGAGAGAGAGAGAGAGAGAGAGAGAGAGAGAGAGAGAGAGAGTTACCAGCTTTAGCTGCAATGGCCTTCCATCTTCTAGCGCCGCTTACTGCAACGACCTCAGCTAGTTTTCTGTCTTCCTCCGCAATCCATGCTTCCTTGTTAATCTTCTTGATCCTACCCTCCATTTCTGAGAGAGAGAGAGAGAGAGAGAGAGAGAGAGAGAGAGAGAGAGAGAGAGAGAGGGTCGAAAGCCTGAGTAATCTCCCACTCCCAGTGATGAAGTGAGTTTTGGCTATATTGAATTCCTCTATTATAAAGAGGCCATTTTTACGGGACTCTATGATTGAGCAATGAAGGCACGTCATGAAAGGCTGCTATATAAAGAAGCATTTTGCCTAATTTTGAGTGCCCACCTCGGGATATACTTTCTAATTTCTTCTAGCAAAAACTGTGAAGCCAGAGTCTAAGGCAATAAGAATAGATTTAATACCATGAAAAATCCGAAATTGATATTAATTTTTTAATCATAAAAAATTCTAAACTAGTATATTTATGACAAATTTACCCTTCATTAGTTTTCATTAAATTGGATTAATATCACGAAAAACCCCAAACCAGTACATCTGTGATAAACAGAGGGTAAAACCCAAAATCGATATACCCGTCAACTGTCACGTGTCATTAACTCAGCAATTTGACACTAAAATTTAACAGAAACTAACGAATGACAAATTTATCACGGGAATGCGGGCCTGAGGTTTTTTGTGATCAAAAAGTTATTTTTGCATAAACTTATCACATGTGTATCAGTTTGAGATTTTTTTGTGATATTAACCCATATGAATAATAGTTTGTCACGTATTTCTACACCGATATAATTAAGTTCATCCCATGTTGACTAACCGAGAGTATCAATAAACTTGATACTTTGAAATGACTCGATAAATTCTAGTGTATTCAAAAGATCGAGTCATTTCGTAATTACAAATCAGTCGATTCTTTTTCCCCTACGACCCTAGTTACGATAAATTCTTCGACCTTATATATATTCAAGAAAATTACGGATGCTCATCTTGTTTTACTTCTGCTGGGTATTAATTACACCATTAGTCACTCTCCCTCTTGATGCCAACAACGATTTCAAAGTAGACTAATCATTGCGGAAGGAAAGATATAATCTGCACATGTATATATACATTAATTTTGTTCAGGTAAAAGCATTGATGATGGGTTTCTACCTAATCATTCTAGAATATACATCAAATCGTCCAATGCGGGATTTGCAAGTGACTCATGTTTGTGCGACCAACGTACAAATCATTCCCACCTTTTTCATTAATTTTCTATTGTCCAATAAACATGTGTGTCTTGACGAATCATGTGCGAGGACAAAAGAGGGTGAAAGCTCAATGGGAGCTTAGGTCACAAATCTTTGATTTTATTAAGGGTTAGGTGAAAAGGGTGCTGTATTCTCTGAAACGTAGACCAGGAAAACATTGACAATTGACAGGCGAATTCGCTAACGTGGCCTCAACAATCTCATTCCTCATGGATTCATTACTTTGTAATGGCACGGCGTGTAGGATCTCCCTGCACTAAATAAGATAACTTTGATTAGTTTCACTGATAAAATGTCGCTCTCTTTTTCAATTAGAACAGTTCACTGAATCACATGCAAATATGCATGCATGGGCTGGGTACAAAGGGAAAGCGGGGAGGGAATGATTAAGTGGAGTAATTAACAAAAGGAATTTGATAAGAGGACAAAGTTTAAGGACAAGATGTCAAGGACAAACGAAGAAAGCCAAAGATTTGTTTAAATTAAATGTTTACACTTTATATAGTACGCTGCTTTCTGCAAAGGGCTCTCCCCACTTGCCATGGTGCTGAAGTAGACGTATGAATCATATAAATATGAACCTTTTCTTCCTTTCTTTTATGAAGAATGAGCATTAACTTCATGAACCTGATCTTAGATAACTATAGTAGAACATCGACTTTACGGACCGTAGCGATGGCATTTGGGGGGATTTATAAACGAAGCTATCGCTATTGCTGTATTGCTAAAAAGTTGTGCATGATTACATTGGAGGATCAGATATTTTTAGGTCTCGAAAGGGATCAAAGAGGACCTCTTCTTGATCATGACCCACGTCCAAGTAAAAAGAAAGGTGAAAGTGACTTTGTGATCTCTAGTGAGGACCCAGCAAGAGATATGAGTTCTGTATACTAACCACAAAAAATCAAGAGGATGTGTGTTATTATGCAGAAGGGACAATTCTGTGAGATAAAAAGTGAGCAGTATGAATGATGCAGGAATCCTTCTAGTTTCAATCAAGAGACGGAAACTATTGTTGCGGATAGGAGATGTGCCCAACTATGTATTGAGTCAAAAATTTCAAATGAGAAAATCGGTGCTAAAATTATTGAATATCATAAAAATCAGTACAATCTCTAGTTTGTTACTTATTTTACAAGTAACTCCTCACACAAATTCGAAACTCTTCGGGGCTCTGAAGCTTGAAATTCGATAGATATGGACTGAAAGACGAGCATGAAAGCATAATTAGACGAAACTTCAATATACGTCGATGAAGACGGCGAGGTTCGGCAGTGTGATCCGATGAGACTTTGGTATATGGCGACGAGGACGAGAACGCATTAGAAGCGTGATCCAATGAAACTTCGACATAGGCCGACGAAGGCAACGAGGCTTGGAAGTTTGATCCGACGACGAAGCTCCAATATGTGTCGACAATGACGAAGGGGTGAAGCTTGAACAGATGAGACTTCGTTGCTCTTCGTGTTTCACGATCTCCATGTTCTTGAAGCTTTTCGTTCTTGCTTTTCGAAAGGCAAGAACTTTAGTATATGTGGAGAGCTTTGATGCTTCTTAGAATCTCTTTTGAAACGTGTATTCTCACTCCTATGAACGTGCATTCTTATTTGTAAGGACTTCGCGAGGATGTTTAAAAAGGAAATCCTACTTCGAAAGATCCCGAAATCATATCCACGTTTTATTAACGAAGATATCCTGCAATGCCATCTTCCAATTATATTCCTAGAAGTTTATCTCGGAAGATACCAACATATTGTCGAGGTTTAAAATACATACCCGGAATATATCACGATAGAAACATCATCTGTAAATGGGATACTTTTTTCTTTCAACATTGTTCATGTCAACAGGAGAACTGTGTTACGTAATTTACAAGGAAAATCGATATGAAGTGGGGTAGTAAATGACTAGAGCAACTTTACAAGTTACAATTTGAGCTCCAAGTTCGAGCCAAATTCAAGTAAATTATTATGGTGCAATTAACATGTGCGTCCAAACAAGAAATTGTACTCCAGCCTGATTCCAAGGAAGTGAAATCAATATGGGGGCTCGAGTCATGACATTGCTTCGCATTCTTCTGTTTGTCTTTTGCTAAGCATAAAGCCAAATCAAGATGATCATTTTAGATCGTTCGACCGGTCAAATTCTGCCTACGGGGCTTAGATAAACAAACCCTCTTTAAAAAAGAAAAGAAAGATAAAATTCTCCACTTGCATTCAAAAGCCTATTTGTGAGGGCAAGTGCATGTTAACTAGACTTTATTAAATTGGACCGACCCTATATTTTATTATATTTTTAAAGTTAGATCTAATAATCATTCGGGCTATTAAAAACATTGGCGGAGTCGTGCCAACTGTCACGTATATCAAATCTAATACTTTGAATCGAATCAAGAAATGAGGTGTCCCATCCCAAGATTTAAGTAGGGTCCCAGGATTAAAGGACGTATTTTTTGTCCTCTCTGCAGCTTTATTCTTTCTGTTTTCTATTAATTTATCTCTCTCTTCCCCTTTTCTTCTTTTTGTTTTTTTCTCTCGCCTCAGCATTTATTTCAAAACTAATCAGCATAGTAATAAAAGAAAATTTCAAATAAAAGCCGGAAATGTTATCATTTTCTCAAATAAGATTCTAAAGTAGATTTTATTTTTAATAAGGACCTAAAATATTCTCATTTTTTCAAATAAGGGCCTGGAGTGAACATTGTTTCGAATAAAGGTACGAAGTGGTTATGTCGATCTCAAAGAACGGCCTGACCTCACTAGCGTCAAGGGCATTTTCGTCTTTTAATTTTTTTCTTTCTTTTTTTCCTTTTTTGTTTTTTTCTTTCCATAAAAAAGAAAACTCAAAAAAGAAAAAAAAAGGATAAAGTTTTAAAAAAAAAAAGAAAAGGAAACACATATACTCTGCCTGTGGCCGATGGGGCCACCGGCACCTTAGCCAGGGCCTGCTAGCCCTTGCTAGTTCAGGAGAGGGTCGGTGACCCTTGCCTAGACTGGGGCGAGGGCCGCTCCAAAAATGGGAGAGGGCAGCGACCCTCTCCCCGATCTGGGCGAGGGTCGCCGGCCCTCGCCCCAGTCTAGGCAAAGGTCACCGGCCCTAACCTAGGTCTGCGAGAGGGTCACTACCCTCGTTGAGGTGCCTGCGATCCCGCCTGTCATTGTTGTCGCCCCATGGGCTATAGATTACCCTCCCACTTGTATTTTTTCTTTTTTAAAAAAACTTTTATCTTTTTTTAATTTTTAATCTAATTTAACCAAAATTTATGTTAAAATTATTTTTTGACAAAAATGCCATTGACTGATTGAAATATTTGGCCGATCAGCAAGGTTAGGCCCTTATTTGAAATTGTTATAGCCACTTTATACCATTATTTGAGAAAATGAGGGCATTTCATACCTTTATTTAGAATTTTCCCTAATAATAATATCATTGCCTCACATCTCCCCGGGCTGAATCATGCCATTTCATCTATCCTAACTAAAGTATGATATTTGTTTTAAATCGAAAAAAAAAAAATTCTTTCGTTCATTGTTTTAGATATCCTTTTCCCTAAAAAGGGTTATGATTTGAGTAATGTAATAATGTAAAGTTGTGTATTTACGGTACTTCTCTTTCTCTATGATGGGGACAAAAACCAAAATCATATCAGCTTTTAGGCAAAGAATTTCATGTAATTTCCCTTTCAAATTGCAGGCCGTGGCCTTATATAATTCAGGAAGTAATGCAACCAGGCCCATTAGCAATACCTGGGCCTCATCAACACTCGTAAATCGGGTTCATCTCCATTGTAGCTCATTGGTTCGACGAATTCGAGATTAGGAGAGCAGAAGATAAATGCTACTACGTTATGATGGGCTTTGTAATACATCTAGCTATTTCACTTCTTCAAGAAATTCGTGATGGGGCAGACTTGGTTCGTAACTTAGTTGACCAGAGAGTCCAAGGAGGAATCCGGGAGATTACTCAAATTTGCACTCGTTTATGCTAAAATCACGTGAGATCATTCAAGAAAGATTAATTGGTGTAGAAAATATGTAAAAAGGTAATATGAGAATATGGGTGGCCTTCAAGATTTCATTTTGGTAACCAGGGACCTACCTTGGATCCTTGGTGGTGGTTATCGAGAGTATCTCATCAAAGTAGAGAAAATCGATGTTTCCGATCAGGGTTGCCTCGCCTGTCCAGGTGCATACACCTGGCGGGCTGATAGGACCGTATTCTTTATTTTAACGTGTCGGTGTCCACATACCCAGCTCCCCAATTGGAGAGAAAGTTTTTTTTCCTCTCTCCAATGAATACCCCCGTGTTTAACGTACCAGAGTTCAGAATAAGCCTTTTAATGTCTTGCTCGGGAAGTAGATTGTTTGATCTTATAACATTATAATAAAACAAAGTCTCACATATCTGGCTTGGGAACCGAAAGTATGAGAGTATAATATTGATGAGTGTATTTTCTTTGCAACCAAAATTCACCAACTAGAATAGTAAACTTAAGCTTGGGAAACTCACTCTTATTAGGGATATTGACTTCTCAGTTAATAGATAAATCTCAGCATAAAACAGATTTTTGCCTTATTTAACAACTAATTACATAATTAAATCCGTTCGCGTTTTTTTTTTCAATTTTTGTAAATAAAGAAAGAGACCAATGGCAATAGACTATTCTTGTTGGGCTTGGGGTTGGGCCTCATACTCTCAAAAGATCAATACCAGTGGTCTAGGCCTACTGGTGTTCACTTGTTAAGCCCACGTGTCTTGGACCGATTCCCTCCAAACAACACTGTCTATTTTTTAAGTATTAGGTGTGAACATTTCGGTTCGGTTCGGTTTAGGTTATCAACAAAACCAAGCCGAATTGTTAGGGTGAGTACTTGAATCGAATTGAATTACGACCTGAACCGAATTTGCGGTTCGCTGTGGGTTTTCATTTTTTTTTAACCTTCTCACAAGGTAAAGTTTGGTAAAGCAATCGTGGGTTCATCATTTCTGTGGCCTGCTACCATTTATCACAAGAGTAATTCTCCCATCAACAATGTTTTTCAACTTGACAAGAGATAGACATGTACAAAATCCTGCCAAAAGCATGCAATTGCTGGTTTAATGCAAACCATTGTTTTTTAACTTTCAGTAAAACAAAATGCGAACTACAGATGAGACATATCTTGTGAATGAACATAAGGTTTCTTCACTGAGCTTTTTATGTCTGAAATGGAAATAACTTAAGTATCAACAATTTTGTCAGATAGGAGTACAGTTGAATTACAAAACGCAGCATAAATTTGCTCATAAGGCAGAATGTGAGCGTGAATAGCCCGCGACCATGAGCACCGATGACTGCAGTTCTTCCCTAATCAAGCATAATGCATTATCATGAACGGAATGACTTGAATTCAAAAAATATATATATATATATATGATGGTCGAGACACAATCCCCTTCATGTTTTCTAAAGGTTTTCTAGGTCTTCGAACGAATGGCACTGAGTTTGGTTTTGATTTGCGTTTTCTAAAGATTAAAAAAAAAATCGAAACCTAAACCGAACCGTGCAAACTACCCAAAATCCTTTACCTATTAGACCCAAATTTTTTAGTTCAATTTGGTTTCGCTTTTGATTACAGTTTTGGTTTCGATTTTTGACACCCCCACTGCTTGGGTCAATACCTCTTTCGTTTTTTTCTTTTGATAAACCGGAATGGCGAAAACAACTGCAAAGAGATCGTCGTTCGGCATCACTCATCATCTCATTACTCCAACGAGCGAGCCAATTCATCATAGTGCTATTGTAGTGCCAGAGCCTGTTTGGTATCGATCAAAATTCAATACATGCATTGCCGCTATGAGTTTTGTTAGCACTCAGTGACCTCGTATTTGCGAAAGTCCGCGTGTACCATGAGGTCTGGGCCATTATTGGAATGTTTAATTATTGAACCGTGCTTTCACTGAACATCTTAAACTTTTATAACTAGCGGTGGTCAGTAAAAAGAGAATTTCGATCTTTTCTTCAATTTTTACGAGAAATATGCAAAACTTTTCGATGCATCCGTCACTTTTAATTCCCTTTTCAAAGTGGACTATTAAAAAAAGGAATAATACTATGGAAAACTTTAAACCGGTACATTTGTGATAAATTTACCCCAAATTAATTTTTTGACCATAAAAAATCCAAAACTGATATGTATGTGATAAATTTACCCAAGATTAATTTTTTGACCATCAAAATTCCAAAACTGGTATATCTGTGATAAATTTATCCTCAAATTAGTACATCTGGGACAAACAGAAGGTAAAATCCCAAACTGGTACATTCGTCAACTGTCACGTGTTATTTAATTAAATAATTTCATAGTAAAATTTAATGAAAATTAATGGAGGATAAATTTATTATATGCGTATTAGTTTATAATTTTTTAGGTAAATTCGTGACACAGTTCGGAGTTTTTTTTGGGATAATAACCCTAAAAGAGATAAAGTATAAACAAAGATGCATAGTGTACTTTTATTTTCCTTTAGCGCATCCAGAATTTATTTTTAAATCTTCCTGCAGCGACATGATTTGGTGGCAAGGTCTTGGGGGCCACCTCTGCAGAGAAATCTGAGAAAGAAATTGAAGGATGGGCACAGAAACCGAGGAGGCATTGTACAGAACAGACGACGCAGGACGCTCTCTCAGAGCTGAGAATATAAAGACGAGGAGAGATGAGAGAGAGAGAGAGATGCTCGTAAATCCCCGCAATCCTCCCCCGTCTCTCTTTCTTCTTTTCCAATTCGCAGAACAGACAAAACAGGGTTTCTTGACGAAGCTGAAAGTTTTTCTTTGAGATAAGCGCACGAAAAATTCTAAAATTTATCATAAAAATATAATTAAATCTTAAAATTTTTAAAAAATACAAAAAAATTCTAAAATTTATCATAAAAATATATTTGAGTCCTAAAACTTTTAAAAAATACAAATAAGTCCTAAAACTTATTACGAAAATGCAAACAAATCCTAAAACTTGTCACAAAAGTGTAAATAATGGAAGGACTTAATTGAATCAATTTGACAAGTTTTATGACTTATTTTCACTTTCGTGACAAGTTTTAGGAATTGTTTACACTTTTTTTAAGTTTAGGACTCAAGTGCACTCTCGAGATAAATTTTAGGACTTATTTATACTTTTTAAATATTTTAAAAATTAATTATATTTTCGTGATAAATTTTAGGACTTTGAATGCGCTTATCCTTTTTCTTTTCTCTTTAGTCCTTCCCTTGCGCAAAAGGTTTGAAATTTCTCCTTTTGAAGAGAAAAGAAAGCAAAAAAACACGAACCCCACTTCGAAATTCGAGCTTAGAATCCCTCCAAAGATCCCAAGTTGCAAGAAACTGGAAAGAGAGAAGACTTTTCACCGGTTTTTAGAGAGAGAGAACTTCTTCTTTTTCTTCTTCTTCGTGGGGTTTCGAGGTTGGAGATAGAATAGTTTTTCCTGATTTTCCGAGAGGAAAAGATAGAAGGGAGAAAGAATGAGCAATTGGCTGGGGTTCTCTCTGACTCCGCACCTGAAAATCAACGAAGAAATCTGCAGAGAAGGCCAAGCAGGAGGAGGAGGTGGCGGTGGGGCTGGCGGTGGCGGTGGCGGTGGCGGCGGCGGTGGCGGTGACGGTGGCTTTCCTCCTGATATTACCGTCATGCCACTGCGCTCCGATGGCTCCCTCTGTGTTCTTGATCCTCATTTCCGGCGTCCTCATGGCAGTGAAGGTAATCTAATCTGTTTGCATGTCTCATTTTCCGCTGATCTCTAAAACCCTTTACGATGGAAATGAATATAAATGTTCTAACTGATATTTGTCCCGCAAAAAAAAAAAAGAAATAGGAATCGAATCTCTCTACGCATGTCATGTCGTGCTTTCCAACTGTTTGACCGATTTCCACGAGAATCTCTTGTATCCATTTTCCTGCTAACATAACTAGCGTAGTTGACATTATATGGCGGTTGTTCCAGTCTTCCTTGTTTATTCTTGGGCTTGTTTGTTTGCTTAGAATGGAGCTATGAGAATGCCAATGATGGGGAAGATCATCGAGGCCCGAAGCTTGAAGACTTCTTGGGATGTTGCTACTCAGGCTCTCCTCACGGCGATGATGAGCCCCAAAATCAGAACCACCAAGCCACAAGCTCAGCTTGTGCGGGGATCAATGTGAACGTAGCTCCGAGCTGCTTTAACCACGTCAACCATCCAGATCATCCCCATCAATGTTACATTGAGAACTCGCAATCCGTAATAGTTCCATCTGCTAATCATGACAGCAACAACCACGGATGTGATGTCGATGATCGCATGTACCTCCACCAAGAACATGTCCCGTTTGATGGTGGTGCGAGTGCAACGACTTGTTCAGTTTCTGGGTTCAAGACATGGTTGCGTCAAGCGAATGGGACTACTACAAGTAGCAGTGGTGGCAGCCTCTCTCTCACCATGATGAGCCCTAGCTCTCAAAGTGACAACAACAACATCAACAGCAATGTGGGTGTTGGTGCACCGATTTCTCAGGCACCACTAGTTGGTGACGGTAGCATCGCCAAGAGGGCATCATTTTCGAGCAGCAACAACAGCAACAAGTGTATCCTTCCTCGTAAGTCTATTGACACGTTTGGGCAAAGGACCTCTCAGTATCGAGGTGTCACTAGGTAATCTACAGTTTTTTTAAAAGTTGTCTTTTTTTCATTTTTTTGTAAGGCTGATGCCAGTTTTGTTCTTTTTTCGCCACAAAAATAACTTTTACAACTGCCTTTTAGTTTATTTGTTCTATGCATCTGTATTTTGCATTCCGGTTATTGAATTAATCGAAGATTCGGGTATTGTTTTTCCGTTTTTGGGTTTGTGTAAATGTTTATGCAGACATAGGTGGACGGGGAGATATGAGGCTCATCTGTGGGATAACAGCTGCAGGAAAGAAGGCCAAACCAGAAAAGGGAGGCAAGGTAAGAGAAAAATAAATAGGAGTAATCATTTCACATTCTTATTATTCTTTTCTTTCCCAAGGTTTCTGCATCTTTAAGAATTTTCTAATGATGATGGTGTTGTCAATGTATTTTTCTTGAATGTGCTTTGCTTGGGGCGATTCTCCTTTCACTGAACCACAACTTGGCAGTGTATCTAGGTAAATGCTCCTGACCCATTGCTCTTATTTTTATGCTTGTCTCGTGTAATTGGAGAAAATTACTACATATGTTTTTTTCTAAAGAATGATATGACAAATTTCCATTGATAATGCATACAAAACATGACCATTACCTCTTGAACCATCGGCCGAGCTTCGTCTCCTTTGTAAAGAGTTTTAGTAAAACTTTTAGCAATTCTAGTTCAACTCTTAAGGTAAGTATGATTGGTGTGCATTTTAAGTCTTTATCAATATTTCATTAATCGTACGGATATATGGATGCTTATCAGGTGGGTATGATAAGGAAGAAAAGGCAGCGAGGGCTTATGATTTGGCTGCACTAAAGTATTGGGGTCCAACTACCCACATAAACTTCCCGGTCAGTTTTTGTTGGATAATCCCTAGGAAAGTACTCTTCTGTATCTGTAAAAACTACAGAAGGGAAGGCACTAATGTGCATTAACTCTTCTCATTTTGTGAATTGCTCAGCTGAGCATTTATGAGAAAGAACTTGAGGAAATGAAGAACATGACCCGGCAAGAATTTGTTGCTCACTTAAGAAGGTAATGATAGGTTTACGTAAAATCTTACTTTGGCCAAAATAATTAGAAAAATGATTGATTAGTGTGGGGTTATATATAATACTTGTAGTTATTTATTTTAACAGGAAAAGCAGTGGATTTTCAAGAGGAGCATCTGTATACAGAGGAGTGACCAGGTATGGTGGCAGGATTTATGAAGTGCAAGTTATTTACTGCACTTTGCGGGATCTTCTTTTCTTTTTTATAAATTATCTTTTGCAATAATAGGCAAAACATAAAGGGTGCAATTTGCCATATGACATAAATCAATTGGTGCCATTATTGAAGAGGGTCTCATCAATCTTTCAAATAATCTCTCTCTTTTTTGCTTTCCTCTTATCTGTCAAAAGTTGTCTTTCTTGGTTGTCAGACACCATCAGCATGGACGGTGGCAAGCTAGAATCGGAAGAGTTGCTGGTAACAAGGACTTGTACCTCGGCACATTCAGTTTAGTTCCTACCTTCGTTCCTTGATTTTCTTATATCAATGTGGGATTCTTGTTGAAAAAAAGCATCGAAATTACTAGTACATTCTTTTCAATGTTTAGGTTTTCCTTTCTGCCAACTCGTGGTCGATGCTCTTGTCCTTTTCTAATAAGGAATGAATTTATCGCACTCTAATCGCTTTCGATGTTTGGCCCGAAAATGAGACGGAGGTTGCCCTTTTATGAAATTCGTGTAACTAGTATTCATGTTACGACCGTTAACAAGAGCTTTTATCCACTCAAGAATTTACGAAGTGTTATCTGGCTCTATTTGTCTCAAGTTTTAATCGTATCAGATAATCAATGTGTTAGTTACTATTGGATTTTATATCATGTACATTTCAATCCGTTTACTCCATTGTTTGACCTTGTGTGCCGAATATGTTCAATGCACGATGAGGATCTGACATGTCGAAATTATGCATACCTGTCCTGTTGATTGAAAATTTTGTATCATACCTAGTACAATCATCCTCAATTATTTACATGGAGATCTTTTCTTTGTTTAATTTAGGTACCCAAGAGGAAGCCGCAGAAGCCTATGACATCGCAGCCATCAAATTTAGGGGAACGAATGCGGTCACAAACTTCGATATTAACCGTTACGACGTAAAGAGAATTTGCTCAAGCTCCACTCTAATAGCAAGCGATCTCGCTAAACGCTCCCCGAAAGAGGCTACACCGGCCCTTCTCGATCACGACTACAACTCGTGTGCCTCCTCATCGTCTCCGCGAGCACTTCTTGCGATAACCAATGGCGAGACATCTGAGGATTTTACCAACATGGTGTGGAGTTCCAACATGCCCGAAAGTCAAGATCCTCCAACGATCGCAAACACTACCAACGGCGATGCCTTGATAATGGGCTCGAGCAATCATCAAGAATCGCCAAGTGCCGGTGATTTTGGCGGCGGCGAAGATTACTCTCATGCGTATTTCTCAATGCAGGATCAGAAATATGAAGATGGAAGCAATGAAAGCGATCATAACGGGACCAATAGGTTGGGAAATTTGAGCTTGGTTCATCAAGTTCCTATGTTTGCATTGTGGAATGAGTAAAGTGGGGGCTCATTAATGATTTCAGTACGCAGAAACTTGTTCAAATCAAAGGACTTGGTGGAAGCTGGAAGGTAGAGAATGTCCAGAAAGGATTTGTTTCTACTAGTAGTTTGGACTTTAAATGGTCAAGAATTTCATGCTATCTACAACAAAGCTGCATTCACATGTCGTATCGAAGTTGGCCAACAGTATACCTTGACTCGGCAAAATAATAGTTTATACATCGAAATGGGCATATGATTATGCACATGATTCGTATATGTATGCATCATCTATGGTGGATTCTCGTGTTTGTCCTCACGATCTTTAAATGGATTTCCTCGGAACAACGTACATGCACTTATTGCCATCACAAGATCAAATGACGTTTTTACTACTCGTGCATGCACAACTACTGTATTTATTGGCTTGTACCCAAAGTGCAGAAAGAGCTGTGGGCGTTGACCAGATATAAGCATTTGAATTGGAGCTTGATCCTGCTCCTGCGTGCTGAGTGACTAGACTATCAGGTCGCTACGAATTCAACAAGTAACAAGGATTAATCATGTGACTGAGTGATGTTTTTCTCGGACAAAATAGTATCGAAAATATTAAATAAAATAGGGCATGCTTGGCCGAGTTAGAGGAAAATCTTTTTCACAAACAGTTTCGTCACATACAAACATGAGGCGCCTGTCATGATGTTGGAAGAGTTCGAGATCGAGGGGAGTATTAATAGTCAGCGTGTACTGCTGTTGCTGAAGATGTTGCCTTAAATTGCGTGCCCTCGTAGCCGTAGCATCTTGATGTTTGCTGCTTGGAGTCATTTCTCTCAAACGCTCCTTCTACCAAAAAGACAAAAACACAACGACACAAGAAGAGTTTTGTCCTTATCGGTTTTTTAAATATCATTTTTTTATAAGTAAAGTGAAGACTAAAAAACAAATGGAATTCGATGTAGGGGTGAGCACGATTCCAGGTTCTACCCTAGAACCTGATAACCTGGTCGATGGAAACATAAAGGTTACAGGTTCCGAGGTATGCATGATAGGTTTCAGATTTTAAATATTAGAGAACCTATTTCGACGGATAGGTTTTAGGTTCTAGGTAAATAGAACCTAGAACCTGGAACCCGAAACCCGAAACCTAAATAAGTTTTTTTGTGTCTTTTTTTGTCTATGTTTTTGTGTGATCCTACGGTGCTTTATGGTGTTAGACGATGAGTGTATAATCTGAAATAACTAGTCTGAACTTTCATTTTATGACTTGTTAATATTTCATATTCTTCGTGCGTTTAAATATAAGTTGTGGTCAGTGGATCATAACAGCAAGTGGTAGTCATTAAAGGTGATGATTCATTACAATTGTTCAAATAATAATACAGGTGGAACCTGGGAAGACTCTGGAATTGACCTTGGAACCTATGATAGAGTAAGTTTTGGATTCCAAAAAATGAGGAACCTATTCTCATGCGTAGGTTCCAGGTAGAATCTGTATGGAACATGGAACTGCTCACTCCTAGTATCGATTCATGCAATAACTTTTCATTTTAATTGTATTTATTTGAACCGTAACGTCAGGAAAACTAGTTTTTTTGTATTCTCTTTGGTGATTAACAAATTTGTTTAGTATTGTTGCGTTCATTTTCGTTTTGTTTAACTAAAAAAAAATATAAAAAAAAGAATCTGTTAGATCCGGGAACCTATATGGAACCTGTGATAGGGTAACCTACCTGGAACCTGTGATAGGGTAGGTTCCAAATTTCAAGTTTTGACGAGTAGGTTACGGTTTTCAAAAAATAAGGAACCTGTACTTGAGTGTAGGTTTCAAGTGTAATCTGTAAGGAACCTGAAACTACTCATCCATAATTCGATGCACATCAAAATTATCATCGTGAATACAAGAAAGTGGGGATGTGCAAAAGAACCGAACCTGATTGATCGGTTATGAGTGATTCCCACGATCGTCGGTTTGGTTCCCAATCCAAATAAATTGAAACCAGTGAATACCGACTCGTTTCTCGATTCCAGGTATGGAACCACTCACCCAGACTGGATTAGAATGTATATATTTAATTTTTATGTTTCAGAACCCAAATTATTAATTAGAGACACTAATTCACACGCCCCTAATTCACGCTCCTCACTCCTCAATGAAACATTTCCCTTATATCGCCATTTTCCGGGACTAGAGGGAGTTTTTACAATTTTCTCTCAATTCTTGGAAACACGGAGAGCAATGTGTTACTTCTCACTGGCAACTCTAGTAGGGGTGAGCAAGATGGACTGCCCAAACTGGGACCGGACCGGACCGACTGGTTTGGTCCGGTTCTCGAGAATATTGGTTCGATTCCCGGTTCCTAAAAATGGAACCGGTTTTCGGGCGGTCCGGTTCTCGGTTCTAAGGTGGGAACCGGACTGGACCGGACCGACCAGACCGGACCAATAAATATATATATTTTTCTAATTTTTTCATATATATATTTATTTACTTTTTAAATATATATTTAAATAACAAAAGAAGCATTTGATAGTTCATTTTTATTCGATTCTAATGGGACCAACCCAAAAATGCTTTCATATATTGGTCCTGAAAATGCTTCCCGGTTCCCTCTTGCCTTTACTAGTTGGTCCCATTGGAATCGGACTGGACCATCGGTCCAGTCCGGTCCACGGTTCCAAGATTAGCCGGTCGGTCCCTTGTCCTAAAAACTGGGAACCGGTCCTCCCGGTTCTTGGGTTGGACCGGACCGGGAACCGCTCACCCCTAAACTCTAGAGAGTTATGCAACGACAGCCTCCATTTTCACATCCTCTCGCATTGTAAGTCTCACCATCGTTTGCACACTTCGTTTCCCAGCCTCCTAGGGCATTGAAGATGATCGATTTCATGAACTCACCCGGGAACTGTACTAAACTGACGTTTGATTCTGAGGTGGGTTTAGGAACTGATAAGCGGTTTCCGATTTCAAGATTAGTGGAATTGGTTCTTAGTAGGTGGTGGAAACCACTCATCTTGAAATCGATCACTCCTACAAGAAAGTGTACCGAATTTTGTAAGATGATCATAAAATTATCTTTGCTATTGGTTCTAGCTAAAGTCGAATAATTTTTTCAGCTTTCCACTTTTCGAAAGGCCTTTCATGGAAAATAACTTTTTCATCACTTTTCATGATTCGTTATAGAAGGGATGGAAGAAGGGGAACCAACTAACCTCGTCCCAAACCCATCTTACGAGTTTTGACGTAAGATCTCAAACCCATCTCATTAAATTATGTCGCTATTTCAGTAAACAAATATCTCACAATAAACACATGATAAAAAATATCAAATTTGCATAGTAGAACCAATTATTCAAAACTTGTGCATTCTAAATCTCCAATTAGAAAAACTATGGAATGAAAATCATAAGATTGAAAAAACAAATGAAGATCAATAATCGTAAATATCTAAAATCTGACAATCCTAAAATGAGATATCAAACTTACCGCCAGGTAACTCTTTAGGTGTTCACAAAAATTATATAAGCAAGCTTAATTATTTTAACATAGCAAGAGTAATTTGGTAAGTGATTTATTGAGTTTAAGTTTCAAGTTTACCTGTCAAGTTACTCTTAGGGTGCGTTTGTTTCGCGGGAAATGATTGAGTTGAAAAATATTTTCTTAAAAATAATCGCCCGTATTGCTTACAAAAATGAACGAAAGAAAAACATTTTCATCGTCCACGGAAATGTTTAGTCATAAATCATTCACGATAATGAAAATATTTTTCATCGACTTATTATATCAAGCAATACAAACGATCATTTATAGTCACGTGAACTTCGGATCCTCGAGGCACACGTCGATTTTTATCAACATCTCTTTCGATAGGTCCTTAATATCAAATTTTCTCCTACAGATTTATGAAATTTCAAGGGGGAAAACAGGTAACACAGAAGTGGGACTGTTGGCCTAGATCTGCCTGCAAAGGGCTATCCCAAAATAGAAAGTTGCTGACTCGAAGTCTTTATGGAGGGTCCAAAATGCCAATGTCCCTAGGTTTGCTAACTCAATAAACTTGCTCGAGTCCTCCTACTCCCCGTATTTTCACTTATAACATTCTTCAGATTTGGACCTATTTGTGTTTGGGGCACGAAAATGCACACCGACTAAGATCAATTGACTGGTTTAGAACTCTCGGGTACTTCATTGTGAAAAAGATAAAGTATATATATCATTTATTGATTTTTAGAAATGGTACTAATAAAAGAGTACCGCAGCTCCAGGTAAGAGTTTGGCGAAATTTTAAGCGTAAATGACACAAATGTTTCATGAATTTTAAATTTGTTCAATGTGGTTCTTGAACTTTAGTCCAATGCGTAATGTCGTCCATACACTTTTATTTTGTTCAATGTGGTTCATGGACTTCTGATACATGTTCAATTTAGTTCCTATACTGTATGAAAATTTTCAATGTTGTCTCTAAACTTAAATTAATGGAAGGACAATATTGAATATTTTCATACAGTCCGAAGACTAAATTGAACATGTACCAAAAGTTCAGAGACCACAATAAAGTTGAGGGACGATGTTGCACATCAGACTAATGTTCATGTTGAACAAATTTAAAGTTCGCTGATCATATTACATATTGGATCAAAGTTCAGAAATCATTTGTGTCGTTATCACAATTTTGAAATAATAGAGATTGATGAAAGTTAAAGGAAAGTTGATGTTCAAACAGAAGCTTAAGCGTATTATCGCTGCTTGTAGGGTCTTGCTAATTTAGGTTCTATATTGACGGCTCTTTTTTCTCAAATATGAAATCGTGTAAAGAAATTTATTTCCACTATCGAAAAAATAAAATTCCTCATCAACTACTTTACAAAACATATATTTTATCGTTAGCTAAACTAAACGTCGCATCGTATTATGATTAACATCAAAGTTAAAACGTGCGCTTATAGTTTTGAATAGTTTTTTATCCATGATTTCTTTTTCACTTCCAGCATCAGGATATAAGTTTTACCTAATATGTAGGATCTAACAAAATACATTCATGTCAATATTTAAAGTTAAATGAATCTTTTTTTTATTAAAATATAATGTAATGAATAATTTAAAAGATCATTATAACAATCATCGTTAAGTTCCACACGTTGTCTATCCAACTGTGAATGTGTGGAAAGTTCTTTTATCCGACAGTACATCTAAGAATATTACTAAGTATAAAGGATAGATATACTTAATCTTTGAAAATTACATTTATAAAGACTCAAATCAGTGGAATTTTTCATATATGCTCCGCAAGTATATATAAGACTAAGTGATGGCGTACAAAAATCTGAAATTGTTGCATGAAGGACATTTAGGGTGCGCATGAATACCATT